GCTTTATATTTACTGAGTATTATGTTTCTGTACATAATCATCTGTCTGTATATATGTTTTCAGGACCACAATGTAAACTAGTTGTAAACTAATTGTGCAATCCTGTATAAATAAAGGATATTATTATTATTATTATTATTATTATTGGCGGGTTAATTACAATCAATTTGTTAGTAACTTGATTCAAGTTTTATCTTTACTGTATGCATATGATTATAAATAACTCACAAATTTAATAAAATGTGGAATTTGCAAGATTTTATTTAATCGATATTTTACTTGCCCTTGCGTAGGCATATGACTCGCCTAATCCACCCAGATTCTTTCATTCAAAGGCTATTTCATGTGCAAAAACGAAAGTAGGGTTCATCTCAAAGTGAACAAGAATAAATTTCAAGATTGACTTACTTTGGTGAAGAAAACAGTGAAAGTCAAATAAAAACTTCATTTATAATCATACTTTGATTTTTATTGATAAGTTTATTACTTTAACCGATAACATAGCATACGAATAATGAGACATAAGCTATTCTGTATAAATAAGGAAAACAAAGGAAGACAACTCTTGCATTTTACATTCTGTGTCATATTTTCTTCTGTGCCTCAAAAGTGGCACGAGAATAGTATGAAATTTCAGGTAAAATTAACCAACTGGTACCTAGGTTATTTTCTAAAATTGTTTTGATCTAGCATTCCTGTAGTATCTGCTTTTAATTTGCTGATGTACACTTTCCAATCATTTTCCTCGGAAAGATGGATAACTCTGTAAGAATTCTGCATTTTTTATTTTGAAACATTCATAAAAGCTATATTTTCACCTAATTTAAGAAATGATTGCTGATATGGAATTAGTGGGTCATACTTTACGCAATGGACATAAAAAAACTGACAATGTTTTGACTCCTTAAAAATTATTGGGCATTGCTACTAAAGAATTATGAAAACAGTGGTATTGTAAACTGGGCAACGGTAGCAATGCCCAATAATTTTTAAGGAGTCAAAAAAATGTCAGTTTTTTATATCCATTGTGTAAAGTATGACCCACTGATTCATTTCTCAAATCGGGTGAAAATTAAGCTTTTTATGAATGTTTAAAAAATGCAGCATTCTTACAGAGTTATCCATCTTTCTGTCAGAGGAAAATGATTAGAAAGTGTACATAGGCTAATAAAAAGCAGATAATGCAGGAATGCTAGATTTATATAATAGTGTTGCATTATGCATGTACTATGCCAGAAAAGTAGGCAGGGTTTGACACATGGTGCACGAGCCGGAGGCCTACTATTTTTATTATTATGCTGACTGTTGTTATTATTTATGCGGCAATCTATTTGATTTTTTTCCAGAAAATAATAGTGGTAACACAGCGCACTTGTAAAAACTCATTCAAAATCTTCATGCTAAAATTAGTTGCATGCTTAGTTATTTTGGTTACTAGTATTTTCTCTAAACAAGTCAGGATTTTCTTTCCCAAAGATACTCATCTATATTTTCTGTTTTGTTAGTAAGACTGAAATGTTTACATAAGTGGATTCTCATTGATAATTTTCTCTTACAATCAAGCGCTATATAAAAAAGCGTTTTAATGACCCCATGATATCAATTCATCTAACGATCTGTATGTAATTAGTTTGAAACTTTGTTGAACACATTTATCTAAGATTCCTTAGAATAAATATAACTTTTCAAATAATTTTTGTCTATTTTTTTCTTCTTCTGTCAATTGTATAAATTAAGTTTATATATTAAAAAAAAATTCTCCCTATCAGTGATCGTCTCTGTGGCGTAATCGATAAGGCATCGGACTGGCAACCTCATGGTCGTGAGTTCGATTCCCGGAGTGGGCATGGAAGAATTTTATTCAGAAAAGAAGGCCGTGCACTATTTCGGCATAGAATGCTAACGCTATATAGATCCTTAGACCACTATGCAAGAATAGTAGGGTATGGGATATATAGAGACAGACTGACAAGAAGCATAATAATTAAGAATATAACCTTGGTACCAGTTAGTTAATTTTATCTCATATATCTTAATATGCTTGTGCCACTGCTGAGACACAGAAGAAAATTTGACATGGTTTGTAAAATGCAAGAGTTGTCTTCCTTTGTTTTCCTTATTTATATAGAGTCTGTCATTATGCGTCTGTTCTGTTGTTTTTATAGTGTGAAATCTAATTATGTTATAACAATTAGCAGAGGCAGCTGAATCCCCTCAGTTAACTTTCTGAGGACCTGGCAGGTTCAATATATACAAATATATGATTATAAGCAATATATACTGTAGATCACTAAATTTTCGCGACACCTTATTTTCGCGAGATATCCGTTGACTCTTTATTAGCTAGACATATTTTTCACGAATTGTTTTTTTTTCCTCTTTGTAATCGTAAGGAATACTTTTATATACTTTTACATTGTCTCGCGAAATTACGCGAAAATAAAGTTCTCGCGAATAAAACGTAAATAACAGTACAAATAAATGTTAGACTACTTGTTATTAATCAATTATGTACAGAAAAATCAAAGTGATGCTGGCTCTCAAGCGATCAGCTCTTACATGTACAGCTAGGCTCTTCTGCTTACTAGCTCTTGCAACGCGGCTCTTCTAGTTACTGACTCTAACAACTCAGCTCTTATTACATCGTTTTTAACCGGCTCTTACTGGCTCCCCCAGTAGCTTTCTTGGTAATAAATAATATCTATAGCCAGGAAAGACTTATTCAGTCACGTCTAAAGCTTTAAATATTTTTATTCTTTTAAAAAAATACCACCTTCTTATTATCAATTGAAAGCCATTTGTTTTCTAACTCCTGCTTCAACTTTGCAACTAATTTAAATCCACCGCTTCACCTGTATTTATAATCCCTGTGCCAAATGACGCCACCTAGCTGTACATTACTATAAAACAAGACTTTTTCTGGATTGTCTCATTTTTTAAAGTCATAAACTTGTCAAAAGTCAAAGTATGATTATAAATGAAGTTTTTATCTGATTTTCAAAGAAACTATCCAAGATATTTTTTATCAAACTTCATATGCTGATAGATATTGATGAGAGCTATGCAACTGCATCAACATTTTTTGACCTTGACCTTTCCTTTGACCTTGACTTTTCCTTTGACCTTGACCTTACTTATCTTATTTCAACTGCATCAGCAATTTTGACTTTGACCTTTTATTTGACCTTGACTTAACTTTTATCAAATTGTGTTTAAGTCAATTTTAATTGAAGAGATCAATCTAGATATTTATATTAAACTTCATACCTTGATACATATTAATGAGAGATATGCATCTGCATCAACAATTTGACCTTGATGTTTCCTTTGACCTTTGACCTCACTTTTCCTAAATCAGTGTCAAACTTCATATGCTGATACATACTGATGTAAGCAATTCAACTACATCAACATTTTTACCTTGACATTTCATTGACCTCACTTTTATTAAATTTCGTTTATGTCAGTTTTAAAGAAACCATTAATGATATTTTTCAACTTCATATGCTGATACTTACTGATGAGAGCTGTTCAACTGAATCTACAGTTTTTAGCACACCAGAGCTGAAAGCTCAAGTGAGCTTTTCTGATCACCCGTTGTGTGTCGTCCGTCTGTCTGTCTGTCCGTCCGTCTGTAAACTTTTCACATTTTCAACTTCTTCTCAAGAACCACTGGACCAATTTTAACCAAACTTGGTACAAAGAATCCTTGGGTGAAGAGGAATTTAAATTGTTAAAACCAAGGCCCAAGACCCCTTTCAAGGGGAAATAATCAAGACCCCTGGTGGTAGGGCGGGGCCACAATAGGGAATCCAAATTTTACATAGAAATATATGGGAAAAAAATTTAAAAATCTTCTTCTCAAGAACCACTGCGCCATAAAAGCTGAAACTTATGTGGAACATCCTCGGGTAGTGTAGATTCTAAATTGTTCAAATCATGACCCCCGAGGGTAGGGCGGGGTCACAATAGGGAATCCAAGTTTTACATAGAAATATATAGGGAAAAACTTTAAAAATCTTCTTCTCAAGAAGCACTGGGCCAGAAAAGCTGAAACTTACGTGGAAGCATCCTGGGGTAGTGTAGATTATAAATTGTCCAAATCATGACCCCTTTGGGTAGGGCGGGGCCACAATATGGAATCTAAGTTTTACATAGAAATATATAGGGAAAAAACTTTTAAAATCTTCTTCTCAAGAAGCACTGGGCCAGAAAAGTTGAAACTTATGTGGAAGGATCTTGGGGTAGTGTAGATTATAAATTGTCCAAATCATGACCCCTGGTGGTAGGGTGTCACCGTGTGGTCACATTTTATATAACAAAGGGGGATATCTGTTAAAGAACAGCATGGCCAAAGTTTCTCAGGTGAGCGATGTGGCCCATGGGCTTCTTGTTTGACCTTGGCATTTCCTTTGATCTTGACCTCACTTTAATGAAATAAGTGTCAAACTTCATATGCTGATACATACTAAAGTAAGCACTTCAACTGCATCACTATTCAAGATATTCTGATCAAATTTCATACATTTATACAAATTTTCATGTTGCTTTACTAATATACCCTCGGCGGGGCATTCATGTCCTCTGGACATATTTCTAGTTACCTTTATAACTAATAGGTTTGTGACAATCGGAAAGTAAATTAAGAAATGTGTTACAGTTTTGAGAGTATCAGACAACTTTTATCAATGCATCATGACACATTTCCATGGATAATCTAAATTGTTATACCTTTACAAATTAGTTCCTATACAAATCTATACGAAAAAAAGTCCAACATATTTAATGTTTTGCTATTCAAGAAAAATATTTTGATCAAATTTGGACATAGAGATTTGGACCGCTTATACAAATTTTCATCTTGCTTTTCAATTGGTTGGTGTTAAACATGTCAGATTTGATGTATTTCAGCACAAAATAATTTATATAAAATGTAAGGTTTTTATGACAATCTCGAAAATAAATTAAGAAATGTGTTACAGTTCTGAGAGTATCATACAACTTTTATCAATGCATCATGAAACATTTCCATGAATAATCTAAATTAAACCATACTTCATGTATAACATTAGTCTTTTAAGACATTGAAGCTATACAGAAATATTTACTCATTGTACTGAGTTTGTTTTGACAGGTCTCCCAGGATGTGCTGTTTGACTATGTAAAGCTAAAGAGGCTGAAGAAATCAACGTTTTAACAGGTTTCAAAAATCTTTAAATTTTTAGCTCATCTAAGCCGAAGGCTCAAGTGAGCTTTTCTGATCACATTTTGTCCGGTGTCCATCTGTCTGTCTGTAAACTTTTCACATTTTTGACTTCTCAAGAACCGCTGGGCCAATTTCAACCAAACTTGCCACAAAGCATCCTTGGGTGACGGGGATTTAAGTTTCTTCAAATGAAGGGCCATGCCCTCATTCAAGGGGAGATAATTTGGTATTAAGGAAAATTTGATGGGATGTTTTAAAAATCTTCTTCTTAAGAACCACTGTGCCAGGAAAGATGAAACTTATGGGAAAACATCCTCAGGTAGTGTATATTCAAGTTTGTTCAAATCATGACCCCCGGAGGTAGGGCGGGGCCAAAATGGCTGACCAAAGTTTTACATAGAAATATATAAGAAAATTCTTTAAAAATCTTCTTCTCAAGAATAACAAAGCCATAATTCATCATATTCATATGGAAGCATCCTCAGGTTGTGCAAATTCAAGTTTGTTCAAATCATGACCCCCAGGGGTAGAGTGGGGCCACAATGGCCGACCAAAGTTTTACATAGAAATATATAGGAAAATTCTCATCTTCTCAAGAAAAGCCATGACTGGTCATGGGACTACTTTTGGATTTAAACTTTTCAATAATAAACCAATTTGTATTTTTTCCTAGCTATAGTGCTCAGGTGAGCGATGTAGCCCATGGGCCTGTTGTTTAATATGATGGGTTGGTATTTTAAAGACTTGACAAAATTCAGATCTACATTTCCATTAATAATCTAAAATATATCATACAAATAACATTAGTTTTCAAGACATTGAAGCTATACAGAAATATTTACTCATTGTACTGTGTTGATTTTGACAGGTCTCCCAGGATGTGCTGTTGAAGTATGTAAAGCTAAAGAAAAGGAAGAAGTCACCATTTTTGACAGGTTTTACTAATGCCTAAATTTATTTTTTCAGATCACATTTTCTGATCACATTTTGTCCGGCGTCCGTCTGTCTGTAAACTTTTTCACATTTTCGACTTCTTCTCAAGAACCACTGAGCCAATTTCAACCAAACTTGGCACACAGTATCCTTGGATAAAGGGGATTCAAATTTGTTCAAATGAAAGGCCAAGCCCTCTTTTAAGGGGAGATAATTATGAATTAGTGAAAAATTAATTGAATCTTTTAAAAATCTTCTTTTCCAAAACCCTTGGGCCAGGAAAGATGAAACTCATGTTGAAGCATCCTCAGGTAGTGTAGATTCAAGTTTGTTCAAATCGTGACCCCTGGGGGTAGGGTGGGGCCAAAATGGTCGATCAAAGTTGTACATAGGAATATATAGGAAAAATCTTTAAAAATCTTCTTCTCCAGAACCACTTGGCCAGGAAAGATGAAATTCATGTGGAATCATCCTCAGTTAGTGTAAATTCAAATTTGTTCAAATCATGACCCCCAGGGGTAGGGTGGGGCCAAAATGGCTGATCAAAAATTAACATAGGAATATATAGGACAGCCTTTTAAAATAATCTTTTCAAGTATTTCAAAGCCATGATTAGTAATATTTATATGGAATCATCCTCAGGTAGTGTAGATTCTTGTTCATTCAAATTATGATCCCCTGGGGGGTTTAGATTCAAGCCCCCCCCCCCCCCCCACCACCACAACCACCACCACCTCGGTAAACTTTCAGTTCTGATCTAATATGTGCTTTTTCCTAGCTTATGTGCTCAGGTGAGCGCTGTGGCCCCTGGGCCTCTTGTTTTTCTTAGCTATAGTGCTCAGGTGAGCGATGTGGCCCATGGGCCTCTTGTTTAATATAAGGGGTTGGTATTTTAAAGACTTGACAAAATCCAGGTCTACATTTCCATGAGTGATCTAAAATATATCATTCAATAACATTAGTTTTCAAGACATTGAAGCTATACAGAAATACATACTCATTGTACTGAGTTTATTTTGACAGGTCTCCCAGGATGTGCTGTTTAACTATGTAAAGCTAAAGAAGAGGAAGAAATCACCATTTTGACAGGTTTAACTAATGCCTAAATTTAGTTTTTAGCTCACCTGAACCGAAGGCTCAAGTGAGCTTTTCTGATCACATTTTGTCTGGCATCCGTCTGTCTGTTAACTTTTCACATTTTTGACTTCTTCTGAAGAACCACTGGGCCAATTTCAACCAAACTTGCTACAAAGCATCCTTGGATGAAGGGGATTCAAATTTGTTCAAATGAAAGGCCAAGCCCTCTTCCAAGGGGAGATAATTATGAATAAGCGAAAAATTAATTGCATCTTTTAAAAATCTTCTTCGCCAAAACCCTTGGGCCAGGAAAGATGAAACTCATGTTGAAGCATTCTCATGTAGAGTAGATTCAAGTTTGTTCAAATCATGACCCCCAGGGGTAGGGCGAGGCCACAATTGACGATTAAAGGTTTATATAGGAATAAATACATTGGAAAATCAAATTTTTTAAAACTCTCCTTTTTTAGAACAATAAAGCCATGATTTGTCATATCTTTATGTAAGCATCCTTACGTAGTGTTGATTCAAGTTTGTTTAAGTCATTTATGTGAAGTAGGGGGTAGGTAGGGTGGGCCACAATTGGAAATCTATAAATATCAAGGAATTTTTTCCCAAGAACAGAAAAGCAATGTTTAATCATATAGATATGGAGGCATCCTCAGATAGTACAAAGTCATACTGGTTCAAATGAGGGCTACCACGGTTAGGGCTGGGTCACAATTGGGGGGGGGGGGGTCAAATGAATAAATAGGGAAAAATCATCTGCTCAAAAACAGAAAAATTGCATTTGTTGTATGGAAGCATCATCGGGTAGTTGGTAGTTTAAAATTTCAGATCCCCCCGTCTAAACTACTCAATACTGAGTGATTTCTGCTTTTTAGCTCACCTGACCTGAAGGCTCAAGTGAGCTTTTCTGATCAAAATTTGTCCGTCGTCTGTCGTTGTCGTCGTTGTCGTAAACTTTTCACATTTTCATCTTCTTCTCAGGATTCGCTGGGTCGATTTCAACCAAACTTGCCACAAAGTATCCTTTGATAAAGGGAATTCAAGTTTGTTCAAATGAAGGGCCACTCCCTTTTCAAATCATGCCCCCTGGTGGTAGGGTGGGGCCAAAATGGCCGATCAAAGTTTTACATAGGAATATATAGGAAAAATCTTTAAAAATCTTCTTCTCCACAACCACTGGGGCAGGAAAGATGAAACCCATATGGATGGGGCCAAAATGGCCGATCAAAGTTGTACATAGGAATATATAGGAAAAATCTTTAAAAATCTTCTTCTCCAGAACCACTGGGCCAGGAAAGATGAAATTCATGTGGAATCATCCTTAGTTAGTCTAAATTCAAATTTGTTCAAATCATGACCCCCAGGGGTAGGGTAGGGCCAAAATGGCTGATTAAAAATTAACATAGGAATACCGTATACAGGGAAATTTTCGCCCCCGCTTTATTTTTGCCCCTTTCGCCCTACCATCATTTGGGCGAATTTTAAACGGGGCGAAATCAAAGAATACAGTATAATTTCTTAAACAAAACAATGACTGGGCGAATTTAAAACGGGGCAAAATTGTTTGCAAGTGTGAAAGGGCGAAAATAACACTGTATACAGTATATAGGGCAGCCTTTAAAAATATTCTTTTCAAGTATTTCAAAGCCATGATTAGTAATATTTATATGGAATCATCCTCAGGTAGTGTAGATTCTTGTTCATTCAAATTATTAGCCCCTGGGGGTTTAGATTCAAGCCCCCCCCCCACCCTCGGTAAACTTTCAGTTCTGATCTAATATGTGCTTTTTCCTAGCCTATGTGCTCAGGTGAGCGCTGTGGCCCCTGGGCCCCTTGTTTTTCCTAGCTATATTGCTCAGGTGAGCGATGTGGCCCATGGGCCTCTTGTTTAATATTACAGGTTGGTATTTTAAAGACTTGACAAAATCCAGGTCTACATTTCCATGAGTAATCTAAAATATATCATTCAATAACATTAGTCTTTTAAGACATTGAAGCTATACAGAAATATTTACTCATTGTACTGTGTTGATTTTGACAGGTCTCCCAGGATGTGCTGTTGAAGTATATAAAGCTAAAGAAGAGGAACAAATTACCATTTTGACAGGTTTAACTAATGCCTAAATTTAGTTTTTTAGCTCACCTGAACCGAAGGCTCAAGTGAGCTTTTCTGATCACATTTTGTCCGGCGTCGGTCTGTCTGTTAACTTTTCACATTTTTGACTTCTTCTGAAGAACCACTGGGCCAATTTCAACCAAACTTGCTACAAAGCATCCTTGGATGAAGGGGATTCAAATTTGTTCAAATGAAAGGCCAAGCCCTCTTCCAAGGGGAGATAATTATGAATAAGCGAAAAATTAATTGCATCTTTTAAAAATCTTTTTCGCCAAAACCCTTGGGCCAGGAAAGATGAAACTCATGTTGAAGCATCCTCATGTAGAGTAGATTCAAGTTTGTTCAAATGATGACCCCCAGGGGGTAGGGCGAGGCCACAATTGACGATTAAAGGTTTACATAGGAATAAATACATCGGAAAATTCCATCGATTTTACAATTACTTTAAAAGTCAGAACAACTGCTTTTCTGATTACAAAAAAATTGGTTTAACAACATGGTCTTTGTAATTTTATAATACTACAGCATTTGGCAACCAGACATCAATTATGTGCTTGAATTCTTTCTCTCTAATAGCGATTTTAAAAAGCGTGGAACAAAGACAGGTCATAAGGAAAACTAACAACTAAATCCAAATGAACATTTTTCCGATTTCCATATTTTCATAAAAGTAAAACGTGAGACATATTTTAAACTAATAATGCCTACAAAATATGGCGAAATCGTTAAAGTATACAGGTCTGGTAAAATCACAATTATACTTTGAGATTCAGTCATTTTTTTAGCATAAGAATTGCTTGACTCCTGATTAAACATGCTGATCAGACTTAAATGTCCAAATGGTTCTCCAGTTTACGTTAAAGTGGTTCAGAATCAAAAGTCATACTCTAATTTGATTTCAGCTCCAGAAAAATAAAACCTTGTATTCTAAATTTATTAAATCTTGAGTTGTGCTTAATATCATATGTAATTACATAATAATTTATCACTGATATACTGTATACAGGGAAATTTTCACTCCCATTTTATTTTGGTCCCTTTCGCCCTCTCCTTGAGTGGGCGAATTTAAAACGGGGTTAATTCAAATTGCACAGCATAATTTCTTAAACAGAACTATCACTGGGCGAATTTAAAATGGGGCAAATTTGTTTGCAAGTGGAAAAAGGTGAAAATAACATGGGGAGAAAATAACCCTGTATACAGTATTATATTGATGAATCTACATGCAGTAGTTAAATTGTGACTTACTCATGAGTCTCTCTCCAAAAGACGTCAACAAGGATGGACCAGTCAGCTGAGTCCTCGTCCGATGAACAACTGCAAGAAAAATAAAACATTATTACATTCAGTTTTCAAAAATAATTCACAGATGGACAGACAGATGCTAAATGGGCATATAAACAAAGACAGCTAGTCCTTACTATCTCATTAGCTCTTATGGTCTCTGATCGACAACAAGCTGACAATGCTGAACTTTTTTAAAATGCATACCGTACTTGTGTCTTTTATTTGACATGAAATCAAAAATTCAAACTTAAAGTTCCTTCAATTAAAATGTGAACACAATTAAGCAGTATATACTTACTCTCCATCCTCATGGTAGATGTACTGGTACAGGGCATCCAAGTCATCCATCTCTGATGTACAAAGGAAAGACAGGCAAAACATGTTAAATAAAAACAACTGAGAGAGTCTACATAATAAATGCTTAAAATTCAATCAACTGGAAGTAATATTGTAAACCAACTATTATTCGCGTCATCTTTTATTCGTGATTCATCAGTTTGAAATCAATCCGCAGTAATTAATTTTCATGAATAAGGAAACATTTTCTTCAAAACAAAGCAAAATAAAAGGTTTGCGGTGATTTATATTTGTGAATTAAAGCAGGTTGCAAAACTCGCAAATATTTCTTGCATATGAATAAAAGTTGGTTTACAGTAAATACTACCAAGGAAATTTAAAGAATTGTGGTCCCCCGCTTCAAGGGCAGTGTCTTTGTGGGTGAGACATCATTTTTTAATTGACACATTGTGTCAAATATGAATGCCCATATCATATATATATGTCATTCAGAAGTAAATATCAATGAAGTTGATTTATTTTTTAAAATTAGGTCAACTGTGAAGGTCAAGAGGTCAGAAATCATAGCATCAGGACTCGACATTAATGCCTTGTCGACTTGCCCGGTACCAATGAAAAAAAAAATTATGGACAAGTGAATATTGCTGTATATTTATTGCGCACGAACAGTTAGGTTTAGTTCTGGATTTATTCTTTCTAATTCTTACCTCAACAATTTGACCAAACCAAACAAACAACCTCCACCACAAAAAAAAATCCAAACTCGAAAATACTATTTTGTGGGTAGGTTTCAAACTTCTTTCAATACCATTTCTTACTCAAACTCAAACACTACCCTTATATTTCTGAAGCATTTGAATCCAAATGCCACCTACTCTCTTTAGAATGTGTACAAGATATTTGGTCCCAAGAAACAAACAAACAAACAAACGCTCTTTATTTTCGATGTTACCATCACCAGACACTAGATTGTCATTTTTCTTCCTCTGATTAAAATAAGTATTTGCTATTCTCTTTTGGGTATGAATACCCTTACCAAAGTAAAATTATTGCAGCAATATTGCTGCTATATTGCGGCAACATTGCGGCAACACATTTTTGTCACCAGAAACAAGCTTTTTGGGTTAGTGAAATATCACCGCTAGCGGCAACAACTTCTGGTGACATTCTGGCAATACTGCCAGAAAAAATGAAATATCACTGCTAGCTGCAACAACTTCCGGTGACATTCTGGCAATACTGCCAGAAAAAAACTTTCTGGCAACATCTAGGATTACCCATGAGCCATTTGTTGAGCATGCTCAGTCATTTACTTCCTCTTCTTAAATAAAGTGGAGGGAATTCAAAGGCAAGCATGTTTTGCTTCATTACTGACTTGTATCAAGTTGATTAGAGTTGTTAATTATGTACAGTGGGATTAGTCAAGATGAATAGTAAGACTGCATAGTGTGGAATGACTAGAAAAAAGAATTTAAGCAGAATTATAGGAATGTGTACTCTGTTTCCATATCATCAGACTTGGTGAGTCAAAACCAATATTCTTTTTGAGTAATGAATGATTCAATGGAGATAAAATTGGAAAAATTATGTGTGTTTCAATTAGTGCTTGTGATGCATGCATACTAGACTTGTATGTCTATATATCCTAGAGTAGCAGGAAAAGATGAATTAAAGCATGTTATTTGAAAATTAATGCAGAGTTGCTGGACATTTTCACAGTGGCATATTAATATTGTTTCTATAAACATTTTTTATGCGCCCGTCTCGTATGGATCGGGGGTATACATATTGTTTTTGTCCTGTCTTCACCATTACTTTTGAACCAATGAGAGATAAAGATTTCATATTTGGTATGTCTACTCCACTAATTAAGTTCTTTCAAATGGCATCAAGGTCAATGACCTTGTGACCTTGACTGTGACCTATATGCTAAAAATAGCTTTTTTGAATACTGTAAATCACTTTTTATTGGCGAGAACTTTATTTTCGCGTAATTACGCGAGACAGTGTGCTCGCGAAAATTTAATTCTCACGTATAATAGTATTCCTTAAGATTATATAGAGCAATAATCACAATACATGAAAATTTTGTCTCGCTAATCAAGAGTCAATGACTATTTCGCGAAAATAAGGTGTCGCGAAAATATAGAGATCTACAGTATTCATCATAACTCAAAATCAATGAAAGATAGAGACTTTATTTAGTATGCATAATTCACTAATTAAGCTTTTTCAAAAGACACCTGAAGGTCAATGACCTTGAGACCTTGGCTGTGACCCATATCCTTAAAATAGATTTTTTGAATCTTGGACATAAATCTTGAGCCATAAAAGATAGAAAACTTGTATTACGTATGCACCCTTCATTAATTAAGCTCTTTCAAATAACACCAAGGTCAATGACCTTGGGACCTTGACTGTGACCATATACTTAAAATAGATTTTTTGAAACTTCGACATAACTTTTGAGTCATAAAAGATGGAGAATTCATATTTGGTATGCACCCTTCACTAATTAAACTCTTTCAAGTAACACCAAGGTCAATGACAATTTGACCTTTACTGTGACCCATATGCTAAAAATAGCCATTTTGATCCTCTGCCATAAATTTTGAACTATAAGAGATAGAGACTTCATATTTCAAATGACACCAAGATCAATGACCTTGTGACCTTGACTGTGACCCATATGCTATAAATAGCTTTTTCAAACTTTATTGCCACCAGGCGCACAGTGTTTCACAAACATATCTTGTTTTTCATTATGATATCATGATCTACATAATTTTCTATCTGTTCAAAGAATAGCAGAAGTAGCTATTTCTTATTGACCCTGTGGCTTGCTATTGTTTGTTATATTCCTCAGCACAGTTTGTTAATTGTTAGATTGATAGATCATTATTTCTATTAAATACCAATTTATATCTAACTTACATACGAAAAACGATATTGCTGCAATATTGCGGCAATAATGCCGGAAGATGTTGCCAGAAGATCAATATTTTGGTCATGATTTGCAGCAATATTGCCGCAATCCCTTTCTGGCAATATTGCCGCAAAACTAATTAACATACGAAAAACGATATAGCCGCAATATTGTGGCAATAATGCCGGAAGATGTTGCCAGATGATCAATATTTTAGTCATGATTTGCAGCAATATTGCTGCAATCCCTTTCTGGCAATATTGCTGCAAAACTAATTTACATATGAAAAACGATATAGCCGCAATATTGCGGCAATGTATTGCCAGAACGTTGCTGCAATATTGCGGCAATAAAGCCAGAAGATGTTGCCAGAAGGTCAATATTTTGGTAAGGGTATTTCTTTTCGGACATAATAATTAATTTTTATAGAACTCCATGCTTATCTATTTTATCAAATGTATCTATCTTTATCACTTAATCATCAAGTTTTGTTATTCCTTAATATTAAATTTCATTTCAAGTAATTTCTATACAGAAGTAAGTATCTGAATACTTTACATTTTGTTTGTTTTGCATTCGATAATTTTTCAATTATATTGAGACACTACCACTTGTCGATGGAGCTAGCTACTTGTAAGTCTATTTTTACCTATACACGGCACTCAAATCGCAAGCACATATTTCGACATGGGATTTCGGTTTATATGGTCTCATCAAAAGAGTTTATCTCCTAATGCATCCCACAGGATTCGAACCTGCGACGTAAGAATCAATTAACGCCTTACTTTGAATCTCTAGAGCAATCTCTTTTAACAACTGCGCCACTCGAGTGA